TACATTTACAAAGGTCTTGAAAATATCTATCTAACCACTTAAAATTATATATAAGAAGAAGTTTTCAAACATTACAAAATCTATTAGACATAAAAACATAGTGAATTAAAATATAAGTTTAAAAAAGTATATATCCCCAATTCTGAAAAATGACAAGAAGAATCTCGCCTATTTTTCTAGATCAAGTCAAATTTCTAAAGGGACTATTGCTTCTGAATTATGGAAGTCTAACCAAAGATACAGGTGAGTCAAAAGTAGTTTTGCTCGCTTATGTAAAATTCAAGCTTGGATTCTAACTTCTTTTGTATCTTAATTCTTTTGTGCATACTATGAACTTTTGAACATTTTGCATCCTAAAATATTTAGTGCTTTTTTAAATATATATAATTGATTTCAGAGAGAAGAAGGGAGAGGGAGAGATAGGAACATCAATGATGAGAAAGAATCATTGATGGGCTGCCTCCTGCATATTTCCTACTGGGATCAAGCATACAACTGCAACCTGGGCATGTGCCCTGACCCGGGATTCAATAACGACCTCCTGGTTCATGGGTCAACACTCAACCACTGAGCCACACTGGCCAGGTAAAATATCTAGCTTTTTGTCAGTCACTGGCAAGCTTGTGTATGTGCGGTGGTGTATACTAAACTACATGCCTGAGGAAAAGAAGGTCCAATCTGAGTTATAATGCTGTTACTGGTATACACAAACCTGGTTCCTAGTTATCAGCTAGTATAGCAATGCTGTGTTCTGAAAGACTTCTGGTACACAGGCTATGTAACACCACAAGTGAAATGATCGAAGATTTAAAGTCAGAACTTCAGAGGAGGTAAACCCATGACAGGTTCAGAATATACTAGTATGTCTTCAAATTCCAATTAGCCCTTTCAATGCAGTCTTTTTTTTTTCAAGCTATCATTTCACAATTACATTAGTCATCACCCAACAGACAGAGTATAACTAAAATAATATTTAAATAAATGACTCCCAAACTTTTAAACTATAAAACACAGTATTTAAATATACTTTATCTGCTGACCTAAAATATATGTTTGTATGTATATATATACAGTTACTTATACAGGCAGTCCTCGGGTTACATCGGACTCGACGTACATCGTTTTGTGGTTACGTTGCCATCTCCCATTTATTTATAACTAGGGGCCCAGTGCACGGATTCGTGCACCTTGAAAGGAACTATGGGGCACAAAGCTGTGGTAGGCACAAGGGAGGGTCTCGGCCCATCCTCCGTGCCCCCTCCGAGCGCCTCCTGCTGTGGCCCCCAGTCCCGTCTGCCGCAGCCCCGCTTCCGCTGCTGCTCCCACGTGCTGATAGCGCCGGCCCCACTCGCACCTGCTGATGGTGGCGCGGAGCGATTGGGGCCGGCGGCAGCAGCGGGTGCGAGCGGGGCCAGCACTGTCAGCAGGTGCAATCGGCGGCTGCTGCCCCGATCACCTCTTAGGAGCAGGGGGATGTGGAGAAGCCCTCAGGGGCAATCAGGGCCGGCAGCCGCCACTTGCACCCACTGATGGCACCGAGTGAGCGGGACTGGCGCCGGGCACTGGCAGTGGGTGCTAGAGGTGGCTCTGGCACCGGCTGCAGGTGTGAGCACCCAGCAGGACCATGGTGTGCAGGAGCAAATAATTTTCAGTAACCACCAGAGGCTCGCCCTGATCACAGTGACCAGCGCCCCACCTTGGTTTGGTGCCCCCAATCACCTGCTCCACCATCCTGCCATGGCCAATGCCCGCCATGTTCCGCACATGCCCCCTGGTGGTCAGCGCATGTCATAGCAACCAGCTGTTCAGTTGTTCCGCTGTTCAGGCTATTTGCATATTAGCCTTTTATTATATAGGATAAAAAAAAGTTCCATCATTTCAACATATGTACATATGTGCTTTATGTTTTCTATTATTTATTTACCACAAGTAAAGGTCAGGAATTGTTATCTTTCTTTTAAATTTTTTTTACTGTTTCACTTCATTACTGCTGTGTATGTGCTCCATGTGAGTGACATAGGTGCTTATGTAGGTGGGTTCCTATTTACAGCGAAAATCGCGTTACGTGGCGCCGTAGGAATGGATCTCCCATGTAACCCGAGGGCTTACTATATACCCATGTTAACTAAAACCACATCTTCACAACTTGATACCTCCCTTAATATATTAAAATATTCTTATATTTTCTATTCTATTTCATTTTTTAATGAAAATACTATCTATGATCCATTAAACTGATTTCAGGATCAACTAAGTGGGTCACAGGCTGCAATTCCGTGATTTTGATACCATCCTTCTGTAGGAATTATTTGTAAATGACATCACTGGTAATAGTCACTCTTTGGTGATGGGGGGAGAGGAGGATAAAAAAATTTACTTTCCCTTTATTCACTCACACTAGTGCACAGCTGTGAATTATCAAGAGAAAGAGCCTGAAATTCCCATGTGAGAGGAGTAGGCCACCTGCCTTGATGCTTTACCTAAGTCCTCCTAGCCCAGCAACCTGCCTTTGTAGTTCTTGCTTCCCTTTGGATGACAGTGCAGTTTTCACAGGTGAATGTGAGGAACACAAGAACCCATGAGGCACCTATCACCTTCTAAATCAAAAGAACTTTTCATTTGCATTAGGAAGCTCTTGAAACTGTTTATAAGACTCAGTGTAGATTCTGAGGTGTTTTGTTTTGTTTTAAAATATGGTACTCTGTTAGGCAGAATAGAATAAGAGAATCTGAGAAGCTGGGGATTTTTTACTTATTTCACAACTTTTACAAAATAGTGTAAAATAAGTAACATCTATAATAATAAAAGCCTAATATGCTAATTAGACCACACAGCTGAACGACCTTCTGGACGTCCTTCCGGACGAAGCCATGGCTGACACAGCTGCGAGGGCCGAGCCCCTTGCACAAATTTTGTGCATAGGGCCTCTAGTTTACATATAACATAATAACTCATTAAAGGTCAGTATGAAGCACCTAGAGCAAGAAAAACAGCAGGTGTCCTGCAAATACTTTCTGATTTGAGCTAAGTAAGCATCATGATGAAATTCAACAAACTTCACAATGGCGAAACATTTTCTTTTTATAATATTAATGCTTTATAATGTGATAGAATGTTTAATGTTTTATATTGTTATAGTTTTGTTCAAATTAAATTCACTTATATGTTCCTAAAAATGTGTAACATTTTAAATACTGACCATGTGAATCATGACTGTAATTATACTGCCTGCCTTGATTATTCAGAGAAGAAAGGATTCTGTCGCCCTCTTGTGGTAATTTTGCTGTAGTATATTCTCCAGAATTTCCACATCAAGTGAAATTTTTCCTTTTCACTTTAATAGGTGAAGTGTTATTTTGACCACAATTTCTGAATTTCCAGATTACATATATTTTCTGCCCTCCATGGTACATATATTTTGTGCCCTACTTCAGTTTCTATCTCAGAAACTTAGTCTTGTCCTCGCTCTTTTAGGAAATATTCTCTGATCCCTTCCAATTACCATACCAAATAAATCTTTGAGGTATTTTCTGTATTTTAATGCACATGCGAAATATTTACAGCAAATCTCCATGGTCATGGATAAGCTTTAAGTAAATGGAAATAATTAAAAATGCATGGGCTGAGCTGTCAGCATTTTTCGCCAAGGGAAAAGGTCTTGCTAAGTTAATTAATAGTCCAGAAATTTCTGAGGCTGATGATTTTAGTCTAAATATTTTAAGTTTTAAAAAGTAATAAAATTGTGTTTTCTTTCAAATAGTTTCGATCATACCCAATTGGGAGCAGCAGGAGACGAGCTTGAGGAGATAGCTAGGCCAGAGTAAACAAGGTCTTAAATGGCAGGTTAAGCAAAGCACCTATAGCAGGACAGAGACGGGTAAGTCGGAGCTGCAGAAAGATCACTGGCTACAGACAGACAGAAGGGGGCAGGGAAATTAGTTACAAGCTAGTTGTTTGAAGGACAAGACCTGAACCAACACAGTGGAGAGAAGAAAATAAATTTGAGAAATACTAAGAAGTAGAATTATTAGGTGTTAATTTCTTTGAGGACAGGAGTAGGGAGTGGGAGGTGGTAAGTTCACATCCCAGCTTTGGTGACTGGGTGGGTGTACCACTAAGAGATAGGTAGTGACATTTTCGGCCATGCTGCATTTGAGGGGCTACCTGGAAACAGCAAGTAGGTCAACATGGTTTGAGGAAATGAAGTCCAGGAGAGAGGACTGTATAAATCATCAGCGACTAATAGAAACCTGGATGGAAAATCGTCCAGGGAGAGTGCAAAGAATGGAAAGAGATGAAAGCTAAGTGTGGGACTGGCAACCTTTAAGTACAGTCCCACCTTCCTGTTGAAACAGTTACTTTAGTCCGACAGTCATAAACTTTGTTCACGTTGGAACAGGAGATCATTTAGTCTTCCTACATCCCGCAGGTTAGAAAACAGGATCAAAGGGGTTAAGTGACTTTATGTAAAGCTACTTATCTATAGAAGAGAGTGAAAGCTCAGGTTTCCAGACTGGCCCTACGCTGCTCAAATGCTCCCTTTCTAGTACGGGGTCCTCCTTCCACTCTGCCTTGTGAATCTTCAGAGGACAAGAAGTCAATGTGCCTTCCTTCAATATTGTCTGATGGCAACAAATGCTTCTGTTGTTATGTTTCACTTATCATCAAAACTAAAATGTTACATTTTCAAGGTAACCTCCCAACAATATAGTTTGTTAATAAGACCCCAAATTTCCAACTCTACACATGCTTCCTGAGTAACATGGGAAACAAGAAATTGCCCAATTCTGCAGTTATGCATAGCAAATGGCAATAATACCAAACACACAGAGAAAATGTTTATGGAACACTTCAGAGAGGAAAACAGCTGTAGCTGTTCTCTGCAGTCCTTTTAGATAGTCGAGAATGGGTTTCACCAATGGAATCTATCATATATCCCAGAACACATTTTCATAATTACACTTAAGGAAAGCAAAAAGCCGGTGATTTCCTTGGAGTACCTGCTTGGCTTGGCCGCTGCCAGCTGGGTGACTTGATAACGCTGGTGGACCCCAGAGGCTTGAAGGCAGCAGCAGTTGTGAGCCCGGCCACCCCTGGTCTGGCGAAGGCTGGGCTCTCCGGCCTCTCAGGCATACGCTGTGCTGACGCTGCTGATGGCGCCAAGTGCGGAGAAGGCTCCTGGGTGTTGCTGGAAGGAAAATAAGAAAACATTTTTGGTGACGTGGTAGCAAGCTAACCTGGCACGGATCATTTGATTTTCTCAGCCTATTAAATCTCTAAGGAAAACAAAAATAATCATCATTTAATTGATATTTAAAAATAAAATACTCTAAAACCATGACTCAGGGATTGCCTCTCTAAAAAAAGAAAAGGGTCTACCTTGGGCTATTAAAAAACTTACACAGCCAATCCTTTGATTTCCTATTCCTCTATCGCAACATTCAATCATCTAGAATAAAATAAGCAATTATTAAAGAATCCCTGAAAAATCTCTATGAAATAGCACAGATGTTTCTTTACCGTTTCCCACATTCTTCTGGTTTCTCTGACATCTCACGAGTCACTCTTTTGCTCACAGACTCAGTCACTCTTTCATTCAATAAATATTTAAGCACTTGCGATCTGCCAGACACTGTGCTTCACACTGTTCACACAGTGGTAAACAGAGAGAACATCTCCCGTCTAACAGAACATCCTCTGTTCTATGTTCATAGCACAGGAAAACAAGAGGCGAGACCGCCACTGTCCGCTCTCAGAGTTATTTGCTTAACAGGAGGCCTTACCTGTGCTTGATTTAGAGGATCATGTGGCTTTCACCACCCAGTTATTTATTATTTATGATTATATGTCATTTCCAAAAAAAAATTTAGCTCAGATGATAAAATATGCACTTTGGAATGACACAATACAATAACAGTTTTTCTCAATTGAAATAATAAGAGTTGTTATAACAACAATAAGAACAATACATCCTAACTTTTCAATAAAAATTCAATAATAAAGTCCTGGTTACTCAGATAACTTCATGCATAGAAACTCAATTTCTTCACTATCTGAAAGCAACAGCTGCAGTGATGGCGAACCTATGACACGCGTGTCAGAGGTGACATACGAACTCATTTTTTTGGTTGATTTTTCTTTGTTAAATGGCATTTAAATATATAAAATAAATATCAAAAATATAAGTCTTTGTTTTACTATGGTTGCAAATATCAAAAAATGTCTATATGTGACACGGCACCAGAGTTAAGTTAGGGTTTTTCAAAATGCTGACACGCCGAGCTCAAAAGGTTCGCCATCACTGAGCTAGAGCAACACACGGACAAAGATAGGATACTATATTAATGACTTCAATAAAATAAATACTGCTTAATTATTTAGTTTGGTTGAGATTATTTCAAGGGAAATAAATTTCAAATTCAGTCATGTCCACTATGCTTACAAATGAACAGGAATGCCTGATTTCCCCAATGCCTCTTGAAACTTGGATAACACCTAACTAAGTAGGCCCGAGGCTGCCTTCCCTTAGGAAGGCCCACTTGCAAGGCTGGCCTTTGACTGGCATTTGGGAGTTGGCTCGTAAATGGTTCCCTACAGTCATATAAAACTTTCTCTGAAAGATAAGAGCTGCTCACTGTGCCCAAACTATATAAACAATATTGTTTATGCTGAATACCTGCTTTCCTTCTGAGAGTCTGGAATTTCAGTATGAATTAGGCACAGCGTGCCTACATAACGAGCCTCATTATAAAATCCTTGTCTTAGGTACTTAGTTTCTAATGAGCTTCTGGTTGACAACACTTTGCACGTTTTGTTATAACTCATGGCTGAGGAATCAAGCACATCCTGTGTGGCTTCACTGGGAGAGGGCTTTTGGAAACTTGAGTCTCATTTCTTCCAGACTTGATCTCACAACTTTTCCAATTGCTGATTTTGCTTTGTATTTTTTCACTGTAATAAATCTTAGCCATGAGTATAAGAGTTCTGTGATCCCTCTAGTGAATTGTCAAACCTGGGGGTGGTCTTGGGGCACCTGAACAGTTTTGAAAAATCATACTAATGCTATTTTAACTTTCTTGAAATAGTGTTCCCTAAATTCAGGTATAATAGAGCCACTACCTTTATAAGTTCTCATCAGTTTTTAAAATATATTTTTTATTGATTTCAGAGAGGAAGGGAGAGGGAGAGAAACATCAATTATGAGAGAGAATCCTCGATCGGCTGCCTCCTGCATGACCCCTACTGAGGATTGGGCCTGCAACCCAGGCATGCGCCCCGACTGGGAATCGAACTGTGACCTCCTGATTCATAGGTCCATGCTCAACCACTGAGCCACACTGGCGGGGCATCTAATCAGTTTAATGAAAAACTCAAACCTGCTTGATGTTAGAGCATACTATACAATGAAAATTTTAAGCACTCTGATAATTTTCATAATAAATAAAAAGTGAAAGATTGCTTACTTAATGGCAATGCTGGACACAATAACCAATAAAGACGACAGAATAAATAATATTAACAGAAACAGCTTAAGCAGTATAACTAGAGGCCCAATGCATGAAATTCGTGCAAGAGTAGGCCTTCCTTCCCCTGGCTGCCGGCACTGGCTTCCCTCTGGCACCTGGGACCTGGACTTCCCTCCAGCTGCCGGCAGGCACCCAGACCCGGGCTTCCCTTGCAGCCCCGGCTTCGTCCGGAAAGTTGTCCGGAAGGACGTCCGGTCTAATTTATTATTATAAATGCTATGAGCAGCTTTTAAAAGCTGTGCGATGGACAAATTATTTTACATCTCTAAGCCTCAGTTACTAAACTTTAAGTGGGGATAAAATTTGATCGGTTACCTCCCATACACACCCTGATGGGACTGAACCCACAACCTGGGCACGTGCCCTGACCAGAAATCAAACTGATGACCTTTCGGTGCAGGAGACAATGCTCAGCCAACTGAGCCACACTGGTGAGGGAAACAGCAAAATACTTTTAAATTAATGACTAATTTATTAACATAGTATGTCATGATTACCTAAATTAGGTTGGTATCTTATTTCTAAAGTTAAAGACTCATATTTTTTTGGAAATTTAAATTGTTTAAGGTATACCTAAATTCTAAAAAAATTAAAATGCTTCTAAAAGATTCTATTGAGGAAACCAGAGTAAATCCACGAACACCCTTGATTCATGCCACAGAAGGTAAGAATCAAATATGGTCATGTTCACTAGTTTGACAGATAAACAAACATTGAAATGAAATGTTAAATATTACTTCCATCTCAAGAATACCAAAGTTTATGTTTCATATTTCAAAAACTGAAAATGGAGAAAAATCCTATATAATAGAAGGATAATATGCAAATTGACCTTAATGGTGGAATGACCAGTTGCTATGATGCACACTGACCACTAGAGGGAAGACGCTCAACACAGGAGCTTCCCCCTGGTGGTCAGTGCGCTCCCACAGGGGGAGCTCCACTCAGCCACAAGCTGGGCTGACAGCTGCAAGTGCAGCAGGGAGTGGGCCTAAGCTGTCAGTCAGATCCCCCCCTAAGGGGTCCCAGACTGCGAGAGGGCACAGGCTGGGCTGAGGGACACCCCCAAGTGCACGAATTTTTGTGCACCGGGCCTCTAGTATACTAATAAAGCAAAGATTTCTTTTTAAAACGGAGCTAATGAGGAAAAACAGAAAAAAGGAGAAAAGTTTACTTTCAGTGTCAGCAACCTGATTTATCTTGAGTTTACATTCCTTTCCCACATTTGTTTAACTATTAAATTTCAGCTGCAGATTGAGAACAGTTGGAAATTTTAAGTCTATTTTCAAAGAAAAACTCTGTTTGAAGAATACTCTTGAGGTGACTTTACTCTAATTACATATTTAAATTTTTTTAAAGGGCCAATTGTATAGCATGGGTTTAATTATCAATGTTTAGATTAAACAGTTTTTACTAAATCTTATAAAAATTTATATACTAATACATAGACTCTGAAGTGGTAGGAAAGGAATATTTCTAAAAGAGTCATAATTATAAGCAACTTTTTATTTTATAGTTTTCTCCATCAGAATTCTGTAAATGAACCTGGACATATATAGGAGTCATGAGTCTCCTTCCTTCCAGAATTCTGTTTACAAATTTTTTTTGTATTTTTCTAACAAAATCCTTTAACTTAGACCAGTGATGGCGAACCTTTTGAGCTCGGCGTGTCAGCATTTTGAAAAACCCTAACTTAACTCTGGTGCCGTGTCATATAAAGAAATTTTTTGATATTTGCAACCATAGTAAAACAAAGATTTATATTTTTGATATTTATTTTATATATTTAAATGCCATTTAACAAAGAAAAATCAACCAAAAAAATGAGTTCACGTGTCACCTCTGACACGCATGTCATAGATTTGCCATCACTGACTTAGACTTTTGTACCAAATTCAAAGTGTTAAATACACTATAGTGGGGAGAAACAAGTTTGGTATTCTATGATACTTTATTATAATTTTAAAGATTACTGTAACACAAAAGTAAACATCCAAGATAAAACATCTCTGACACTGTCCCTCCCAGCTGCTTTTCGGTCCCTTCTCACTGCGGTAGCAAGGTCTCCTCAGGTATCCTGTGCTCCTGTTTTTCAGAATGCCAACTGGCTAACCTGGTACGGGACCACTTTCCTTTCCCAAATATCAAAATACATTTAGTTTGTGCCAATTGCTGTTAGTAAAAAGTGGTGATAATGACTACTAACACTAGCTCAATCAGTCCATAACACCATTTTTTTTTAAAACAAAAAGTTTATTTAAGCAACAAGATGCTTGACTTGAAGGGGAAAGTATCTAGGATTTATTTCTTTTAGAGTAATTCATTGCTGCTTAAAGACAGATTGCCCTATATGTAGTAGCTATATACAAAAAAGTTATAAAATCGTTTTTAGTTTTACAACAAGTGAAAAGCATTAAAATTCTCCAATTGAACAAGGTACGCAAGAATTTTTATGTTGTTCTTTTTTTGTTAAACAGTGAGAGCAAAATAACTTACTGGAATGCCAGAAGTGGACAACGGGAATATTTTCACAGAACCAGTATTTTTCCCTACCCCATCTCCATTTGTTGTCAATCAAAACATACCACTGGCCATTTAGTGCGTGTGTTTTTGTGTGTCTTTTTTTAATGCACCAGGTGCTTTTCTGGAAATACTATTCCAAATGTGGTCAGTAACCTGTCACTGTGGAGACTTAACCCTGACAATGAAAGAGGACTGCTCCTTTATTACTCACAACTCCACAAATATAACATAACTTCAGATGTTTCTTCTTAGGCATATGGGCAATGATCTCTCTCCTTGTTTAAACACCTCCCTTAAAGTTACCCAGGATTATAATTAAGTATATCGAAAATCTCCATAACAGTGGGCAGGATATACAAACATGAACCTGTGTGATATCAGGCTTTTACTAACTATAGTCACAGTTGTATACACTGACATTAATTTATGTTCTGTCAGAAATCGTTTTAGAGTTATTTCACTAAAATTATACCATTAGTAATGAATACTTGGGATATATTTATTTTTGATTATACACAATAATTTTTGCCATATTTGTTAAGTTGAGGAGAAAATTAATTTTTTTGTTTCAGTATTTCCCAGATATGGCCCAAGTACAACCTTCATATTTGAGAACTGCAAGACATTAGACAAACAAAACCAATTATTCTATTATTCTTTACCATTTTTTCAGAAGGTGTAAAGGTATGTCTTACTAAACATTTAAATATTCTAGTATAGCTATATCCATGAAATAAGAGACAGGGTTCTACTGTAATTTAAATACTTGCACAATGACTCGTAACTTCACACCAAACACCAACTGTGCTAACAAAAGATGTCACAAAGGGTTAAAAGGCAAGTTAATAATCATACAAAACAGCATGCTGTGCATTAGCAGTGCATTGGAAGTAGTTAAGTGAAAACTGGACATGAATCAGTTCTAGGAATTTCACATCTGGCCTGTTAATATGGTGGTTAAGTGTTACAGAAAGTGTCTTTTACAGCAAACCACCACTGTGACATCTGCTCCCATAGTACCTTGTTTTCTTAACCTGGATAGAGTCAGTCGATTTCCTCGAGGGTTGGAGATATGAAAAAGCTAAAGGCTTGGAAACAAGGCTGATGCAAAGTGCATCCAGGAGTGAGTGATACTTTTCAGGACTGGAGAGTCTGGTGAGCTGTTAGAAAGAGTTTTAAGTTGGAAAATCACACTACCAATAGCAGAAAGCAGTGAGAGATAGAGACAGACAGACAGACAGACAGAACTAAACAGTAGAAAGAGGGTGAAAAGAGGGCTAGTAGTATATTATATTATTTTACTCATTAATATAGAATTGATTAAATTTTCACCATTTATCAATGCCATCTTAAACGCATTTGATGCTATAAAAGGACACTAGAAATTATGTATAAACAAAACCCCACAAAAATAAAAAGCTTTTATTCTTTTACTGGGAGGAAGGTGTATTACAAAAAATAGTGATCACTCTCAAATATAATCAGTTTGTGGGACAAGATAAAACCAGTAAAAACTTCAAATACCTATTTATACCTGATCTGCTTAAGATATAAAAACTACAAATTATAAAATCCCCAAAGTCGACAGGCACACAACATGCAATAACCTACATAACTGAGAAGTATCATAGACAGATGGCAGTAAAAAGATACAAGGATGATTTAAAGCAAAATCGGTAATACACACTGTAGAATGTATCTACAACCTAGACAATATGATGGTGATCTCATAACAAAGGGAGTGTTTTCTTTGATGTGACGTGTAAGGCAGTGAAAAGTGTTGGCATCGCAACAGACACACACTGTACATGTAGCTCTACCTGGTTTTTGCAGCAAGAACAGCAGACACATGAGCGGCTGTGCTGCTCAGAACCGCCGCACTGTATCTAGCAGGAGAAGATAAGGTAGAAAAGTTTTGAAAAGCTTCCAAGGAACTTGTCACCACATTTCTTGTAGAGCTGCTTAAATTGATAGGTAGGGAAAGAAAAACAGAGAAGAGGCACAAAAAGGGAAGTGAGAAGAGGTAGCATAATGAAGATAAGAGAGCAACCATACTATATTAATAATTAGACATACACAGGTGTGACATGTCAGAAAGGTAATAGGAGTTCGGGTCATTTATTGTTGCTATGATTTTTTTTAAGAAATTAAAATTTGATATACTATAATCCTCCATAAAACTTGTTTTTGAGGTACAAGCATTTATGAATGTATTTTTCACTGTCTCTAATCCTATTTAAAATGAAATCAATATCACATAACAGCAAACATTTGAAGACTGAGTTGTCAACAACTAAACAGAAAATAAACCTAAATATGAAGTGTGAATTTCTATAAGCAGAGAAAGGAAAAAGGCTATGTCGACTATTCCAAACTGTCTCTACAGAAAGGGTTTAACCTCAGAGATGATATACTCCCAAAGCCTGACATTTTAATGAGACTTGTGTTTTCAGGAGAAGAGGTACCACAGCTGCCTACTCAGAAGCAGTAATGCATATTAATATGAATACGAAATAACTGTTTAAAATGTTGAGAGTAAAGCTGTTTGGGAAGGGCAAGCACCTTTGTAAAATAAATAAAAAGTAGTGATGACTAACACCTTCTGTGTTAATGTTCTATAATTTATTTTCAATTTGCTCTGTAAAGATTAAAATGCTGGTATGAAATTTTATCCTCAGAACATTTATTACTTAAAATTGTAATTATTTTCCTTTGGTCTTTGAAAAAAGGTCAAACACCTGAACAGGAATTAACATTCCATCATTAGGACTATAATGATTTCCAAATTTGATTATCAAATTGGAATTGAGAATTTTTTTATTAAGAAAATCTAAAGTGCATAGTGTAAAACCTGTGACCTCTTTTCTTCTTCATTTATGTCTACAAGTTATTAATGAATATCCTCACTATACTATGACTATTTTTGTCAAAATTCATGACAATGGCCACTTCCAACACCAAGTAATTATGTGCCAAACTCATTCCAGGTTAATGAGAGCTCAGATGTAGAAAACTGTGAGGTTGACATAAGCCTCTTCTCCCTGTTGGAAGCATTTGATAATCCATTATTCCTTGTTCCATTGGCTATCCTGTATAATAAAACCCTAATAAGCAAACTGACAGAACAGTGGAATGACCAGTGGAACAACTGGTTGAGTGTTGAGCGTCTGTCCCCCCCCTTCCCAGAGGGAGGCAACCAGTGGTGGTGACAGCAGCACTCAGGGGGCGGGGCTGGCCAGTGAGCACCCTGCCTGTCACCTCCCAAAGCAAGAGGCAACTGGCGGCTGCGATGGGGGTGGTGGCGGGGGGCTGGCCAGGGGACTGCGCCAGGTGGCCAGCAAGGCGGGTGCCAGCGGGGGGTCCCCCAATCACCCTGCCTGCAGGTCGCCCCACAGATCAGCCCTGATCGCCGGCTAGTCCTAGGGACCCTACCCCCTATATACTGGGAACAGTCTCTTAGATTTAAAAATTAAAACCTGGCAAGGCTACTCTAACACTGAAAAAACAGGATGATGCAGCGATGACATGCATGGACTCTGGCTTGCACATTTTGTGGTCAGCCCTGGTTCTGACACTTATAACTGTGTGACAAAGCCAATTAATTAACTTCTCTCTGCTTCAGTTTTTCCACCCATAAGATAGGGAAAATGGTACTACTGCCTCAGAGGATCATGTTATGTACTACTTTTTATAATCAGGGCAAAAAAAATGTAGCTGCTCATACAACAGCAAGATGCCTTTCACCTGTATGAAAAGTATGATTACTGGTGCATGCAGCGTCTCGGATTGCGAGAGAGATGTCCAACTGCTGGTTTATACCCGACATCTCCTGAGGGGTCCCAGATTGTGAGAGGACTCAGACCGGGCTGAGGGACTACCCCCAACCCCTGCACGAATTCTGTGCACCGGGTCTGTAGTAACTTTATAAGCCATTAGAAGCCAAATTAAAGAAATGGTGGCAAGTCGTATTTTTTAAAGTTACAAAGATTTAAGTGTAGGTATAAACTTTTTGGCAAGCGTGTACTTCAATTGAAGTGTATGGCCATGTTTTAATAACTGCTGTGCATGGCGAGGAAAGGAGGAATGGGGGCTGGAAAGAGGAAAGAAAGAGGCTATCAGAGGCAGAGCAGGATAGCATGCATGTCATGCAAAGTGGAAGAATAAAGTTACCAAGTGATTCAACTTTGAGTTTCTCAATTACACTGCATCTTTGAAGCAATGGTTACTATTTGGGGGAGGTAATAGTGAATAATAACCAGAAACACAAATCTATTTTTAAAAATCAGCTAAAAGACAAACCAACTAAATTATCCTTCTCCTTTAAGAAGAAAAGGAATTTCTTTCGTCATACTGTATCACAATAATAATATAAAAGGACTTAGTATCCCCAGAGTCCAGCAAAATCTCATAAGAAGAATTAACTTGAATACCTTTAGAATATGTCTGGGTATCTGGAACTCTCTCGTTCCGTTTTTAGAGGTGAATGTGTTCATGAGTTAAAGTAGACTTATGACAAACTCAATAAAGTTGACTTTCCAAATCACAGTGAATAAATAAAAGGCACAGCTTTCCTGACTCCACATTAAAACTTAAATCTAAACAAAAAGTGAAAAATATAAATGCAGTGTCAAGCGGTGTTCCAGGGCTGAGCGCCAAGCTTCCTTGTCCACATAAGAATGATGCCAGTTCTGTAATCTACGATCTCTTTTGCTTTTTAGTCAAAGAGTTTTAGCGTTTTATTTCACCACCAGCATTAAAATTTAGACACACCAGGAAGAAAAAAACTCTACCTAGAATATGTAGTCACTTTAGAAAGTGTGGCTACATGGCTACCACTATGTACTAATAAAACCTGAGGGGTTGCAGGTGGGTGAGGTCCACTCTTAGATGGTTCTTCCAGAGAACTGTCAAACCTAAGTTTTCAGAAGTAAAATAAACAAGGCAAAGGAAATATTAATGAACGGCGCAGGTATTTATCATCTATACTACCTTTTAAATGTACATTGCTTTTATTTTTAGAAACTGCTAGTTTTTCTTTTTTAACTTCATATCTGTATAATGTTAAAACCAAAACTAACACCCTCACCACTACCAAATACAAACTGTTTTCCCCCACAATTTTTTAACATGGTTACTTCCATCTGATAAAAGATTATGACTACAGGGGAAGAAAGGTGGATGGAAATTCCCATACACTATGTATTTTGCATCCATCAGGGAAACTTTGATTCTAAGAAATTAGGTTGTCCAATATCATATACTTAATAGGGTCAGATGGAATTTGAGTCAGATGGAATTTGTACCCGACCTGTCTGTACCATTTATACCCCAAAACACTCGCCAGCATTGTGGGGGCAGCTGCCTGAATAGTGCACCACTAAAAGCAACTACGGATTTCCTTCCAAGTCAGAATGTTGTGTTTGTAGAATTGGAATTATATGGATGTTGTTTGTTTTGCTGTAAATAAAGTATTTTATCAAGTCACACAAATTGTTTGCCTGCAATTGTGTTACTCTTAGTATTTTTTACTTTGTTTTTCTTTTGAATGCCAGAATTAAATTTTAGAACTATTACCAAGTAAGAAAAATATGAAAATTCAGTGTGAGGTTTGAAAGAAGAAAGCACTTTGGGAAGAAAAAAATGAACTGGAAATATACAATATTACCCATATTAACAAATAAAAAGCCTGTGGATAAAAAATAGAATGGGTCAGTCATGTCAAATGAAAAATGTAACAATAATATAAAGAAATAAAAAAGGAGAGGTTATGTTCCCATTTTTATTTGGCAATGATGAGACCTTTACCAGTGTTGAAAAAAATGTAGACAACTTAAGTAAAATGTTGTGGTAGAACGAAACTATCACTTAAGAGGCACAGCAGAAAAAGTTAAAAGAGATCAGAAAACCTGGCTCTCAGGCCAAATTCAGCCGCCACCTGGCTTTGCATGTCCTGGGATCTAGGAGTGATTTTCGTATTTTAAGATGGTTTAAATAAAAAGATTTCATGACAGGAAAATATATGAAATTCAAATGTCAGCATCCATAAGTAAAGTTTTATGGAACACAGTCAAGTTCATTCATGCCCCTACATCTATAGCTACTTTCATGCCATGCGCAGAGCTGAGGAACTGCGATAGAATTCATGGTTCCCAAAACCTAATAAATTTACCATCTGGATCTTCACAGAAAAAGTGTGCTGACCTCTGCCCTAGGGAATAACATCTCCACACAGCTAGCAGAGTACACTTTTAACAATACAAATCTGATCTTGTCTGTTGCTTAGACCTTCCAGCACAGTCCCGAGGACAACTGTGATTGTGGGTTACCTGTTATTGTCTCCAGCCACATCTTACAGAGCTCTGTCTCTCCCTCTGGCCTGCTCCTTCCACCTGGTCTCCATTTCTTCTTAACAGGCCAAGCCTCTTCCCACGTGAAGCCTCTGCACAGTCTACTACATCTCGCTTCCTACACCCATCTCTCTACCACACCTTCACTGGGCTAATTCCCAAGTGTCCTTCTGGCCTCAGTTTAAATGTCACCTCAGAAAGGCCTCCCCATTTCCCCAAGTCCCCGTAAATTGCCCATGTCATACACTTTCAGACAACCCTGTACATCCCCCCCCCCACCCCCGGAATGTTATGCTTGTAATTATACAATTTGTGTGGTTATCTGTTTCAATCTGGACTCCCTCACTAGACCAGAAGCTCTCTGAGGTCAGGGACCACCATGTCTACAGTATAAACTAAGTGTTACAAAGTGCTTACCACAAAGCGAACGATAAAGAAGTGTCTTTTGAATCAATGCATGAATGAAATTTATTATTTTTAAGTACAGAACTTACCATATACATATATCTCTTTTTCTTTTTTTTAGGTGGATTTGCTTGCTTACTTATTTAATTACGTATTTATTTATTTATTTAAACTTACTGGGGTGATATTAGTTCCCGAAACTATACAGGCAACTCAATGAAACATCATCTGCACACTGCATCGTGCATCCAATGCCCCAAGCAAAGTCTTTTTCCATCCCCATTTCCCGCCCCCCCCCCCCACTTTGCCCACCTCCACCTACTCCAACCCCTTCCCTCTCATATCACCACACTGTTGTCTGTGTCTATGTGTTTTATATATATATACTAGAGTGCGGTGAACAAAAATTTGTGCACTCGGGGGGTCCCTCAGCCCGGCATATGCCCTCTCGCAGTAAGGGACCCCTCGGGGGATGTCCACCTGCTGGCTTAGGCCCGCTCCCTGGGGGATTGGGTCTAAGCTGGCAGTCAGACATCCCTCTGGCAGCCTGGGAGCCCTTGGGGGATGTCCACTTGCCAGCGGGGAGCAGGCCTAAGCTACAGTCGGACATCCTTAGTGCTGCTGAGGCAGAAGAGGCTCCCACCACCACCGCTGTGCTGGCAGCCGGCAGCCTGGCTTGTGGCTGAGCAGAACTCCCCTGTGGGAGCTCACTGACCACCAAGGGGCAGCTCCTGCATTGAGCGTCTGCCCCCTGGTGGTCAGTGTGCGTCATAGTGACCAGTCATTCCGTCATTCTGCTGTTAGGGTCAATTTGCATATTACCCTTTTATTATATAGGATAGAGGCCTGGTGCACGGGTGGGGGCTGGCTGGTTTGCCCTGAAGGGTGTCCCGGATCAGGGTGGGGGT